GAAGCTTCTCCAGCCATGTGGAACTGTGAGTCAATTAAACCTCTGTTCTTTATAAATTATTCACTCTCAGGTAGTTCTTTATAGCAGTGTGAAAAAAAACTAATACAATAACACGTGTGGAAAATGCTTAATATTTGTCCCAAACACTGGGGTAAATAGGTGAGGCACTGGCACAGGAACTGTGACCATCTTAGGTATTTCTCAGGCCCTGCTCTGCTACCTTGAGGGCTGAAGGCCTCAATGTCTTGGAATATGGGCTATATTTTTGTAACATTTTTGGATCATTTGCCTCTCAATACTTCTTTAAAATGCTCAGTAGTGGAAGGAGATCTATAGTTTTGGCCAAAAAGCATCCATTTTCTTATTTCTAAAAAAAAAAAAAATACCTGCAATTTGTCTTGGTGAACCATCCCACCTTCATGTCCAACCCGTATGGTTTGGGTAGTGTGACTGTACTCCCAAATCCAAGGTGGGCATTTGACCCAAGGCTGCTAAAGAATGAATCACAGGTGCTGACTGTGGTGATGAGTGCAGATATGGGTACCTGATATAAACTAATGCAGTCAAGTTGAGTATAGTTCTTTAGCTGGAAAATTTGAAAAAGATGGGTACTCTTTGTGCTGGGGTTTCTATGTCAGAAGAATGGAAGCTAGGAGAAAAACCCGATTAAGAATGAAGTTCTTAAAAATGAACTCCTTAAAGGAAAAACCAGACTAAGAATAAAGTTAAAAGAGAAGAAAACATAACCAAAAGATGGTTGGTGACATTATTTGAACGGCTATATTTAATCATGTCTTAAGCAGTTCCTAAATTGTATTTTCCAATTTACGTAGCGGGGAGGGGAAGAGGAGGGACAAAAAATGAAGCAAAATAAAAAATAAAAACTTCCTTTTTGAGTTGGATTTTTGCTCCTTACAACCCAAGCTCCAAATCCGTGTGGATTGCTGAATGCCATCTGGTTCTACCAAATCTGAATTTCTGGGCATGAACTCAAAGAACCTGCATTTTAAACAAACACTCCATTTAATTCCTATACACACTAAAGTTTAAGATCAACTGATCCAAACTCTTTGTTTTGTGGCTGAGGAAACTGAGACTTTAACAAAGTGTCTTTCCCAAGATCATTCAACATTATCTATTTATTCAAGGTGTGGAGGAACTATCAATTAAAAGGACAAAAATCTCTCCCTTTATGGACATTAATAAGCCAGATGCTTAGTTGCAGAATGGGAAATAGAATTCAGTTCAACTCTTTTCTTTTTTGTGACTTGATTTCCCTAAGGTCATGCTCTAATAATTCTCTTCTTTACCCCAACACATTTCTGGTTTAAAATCAGAGCATTTAAATGGCAACAATTCTACACTTGGGCAGTATTCACAGCACATAAAAATAGGAAGTACTTTCACAGTTTTGAGGTAAATGTAACTAGTGTATATGGTCTGGTAATCATAAGCATTTCCACCAACCTGATAAAGGACAGAAGGTAGCAGAAGGAAGAAAATGCAGTTTGTCTCTAAAGTCCCAAGCAGCTGAAAAGTCTTTAAAGATTCTTGTCTTAAAAATTTATGCAAAATGCTACAGTTAATTCCATTATATGTGTGGCTGTTTCAATAAGAAAATGATTTTTTAAATCCTCAAGTAAAAAATAAATATTCCAGAAGGATAAGCCATAATTCTTATTTGGCTGATGTGCCCCAAGCACAATATCATATTCATCTAGGAGTAGATACTTATAACCCACGTATATCCTAGTAATTCATTTTTCTATTCTGAAGCATTGTGCATCTGCTAGCCCCATCTACTAACTATTAGCACTCCTGTGACATGGATGAGAAAATTGAGGCAGAAAGAAATTAGGATACTTGCTCTAGGTCACATAGGTAGCAACTAATTGAACCAGGATTAGAATCCAGACAGTTGGACACCTAAAGTGGCTTTGCCTACATGTATTTTTTACTCCAAAGTTCACATAAAATAATAATTTGCTCATGCTGCCCCTTCATTGTCAAAACTCACAGAACACATAAAATGGATGATTTTTATTGTTTTTAAGTTAGACAATAAAAGTCAAGAACGTTGACTTTCTTTTAGTCAAGAAGGTTATAATCTGTAGAGCCACGCTGTCAAGAACTTAAAGACCTGATGGTCCAGTGAATTGAATGACTTTAAGAATATGGATGTACCCATGGGACCAAATCTACAAGAAAATGGTCAGCATGCCTTATGAAAGGACACCTAGTATTTCTACTGTTTTAATGGTTGTAGGAAAGTGTGTGGTGTTGCTGCATATTTCTGACTATTGAGTGGCAGGCAAGTCTGTCATCAAAGCAAGAGAGCAGCTAGGAAGAGTAAGCAATTAGTGGACCCAATTAAAAAATAACAAAAATTAAATATCCTCAAGACAGTCTTAGGCACATGGCTCTGGGATAGATTGAGATAAAATAAACAATAGTCTCCCTTTATTTGAGGCTTCTCTTCTGGAGTTTCAGTTACCTAAAGTCAAGTCAAAGTTTCAGGTATCCACTGGGGGTCTTGGAACATATGCCTTGCAGATAAAGAGCAACTACTGTACTTTGATGGTTACTAATAAACACTTTGACCTTCATTAGAAATAAACATGCAAAAGCTATATAAAATTTGTCTGCAGGTCAAAATTAGCTAAATGACTAACAGTGTACTTTAAAATATGGATAAGTTGACAACATTTAATATTCAATTTTTCATATAAATCTAAATTTCCTGCTTTTCTTTGGAGAATGGAAGATCTTGCATTTGGCATCAATGGCATTTACTATCCCATTTGGATGGAGAATATATTCTTCACATGCATAGTCCCACCACTGCTTCTGGTCTTAACGTGGTCTGCTTTAGTCATGTACATCCATGCATGGCCCAAAGTAGACTTAAGAGTTTGCAGTCCCGTATGTATGGGATAATGTCCAAACTCCAGAGAATGTCTGCAAGGCTGTTCAGAATTTGCAGCCTTTACAAATACCCCATGTGCCAGTCTCAGTAAATTCCTTATAGTTCCATAAACAATAAGTTTTGTCATGTTCAGTGTCTTTGTCCATGCTGGTCTCCCTGCTTGAAATATCCTCTCTCTACCTCCTCTGTCTGCCTAGAGAAGTCTCACTTATCCTCAAGACTTAGTTCAAGTGTCAATTCCGCTATGGAACTTTTCTAAATCCTGCCAGCTAGCGATTTGCTTCTTTCTAAGAATTCACATAACACTTTGTGCTTCTATTAGCATTATAATGACTTTTTATTCTGTCTGCCCAATCGGAAAATGTGTTTCTTGAAGAGGAGAACTCTTAATCATCTCATATCCCCAGTCCTTAATAGAGTGCCTGGCTTCTACTAGTTAGAAAATGAATATTTATTGAATGAACAAAAGTAGGATAAATAAATGAATGATTCTGAAAATTTGTACTACAAGATCATATAACAAATTTGATGTTTACAACAAGGGAAGTAACTACTCAAGACCAAATTTCAAATTTTGATAACGATCATGACATTTTCAGATAACAGTTGTTAAAAGTGCCTGTTTATCATACCCTTGCCGGGAAAATAAATCCTGAGAAAATAGAATGTATACTATATTAGTAAATATAAAGGTGACATAAAATTACAGGAGGCCACACTTTGTTAGGGGTTCTAAGGGTACAGGAGGTTGTAGTATTGCATTCAAAGAAACAACAGAGAATAAAAGGAGTCTCTTAAAGCTGGTAGCTACTCTGGCAGTATTTTCCCTAAAAAGTGGAGGACCTGGGCCCATAAAGTGGCAGGAAGAGCTGGTTTAGCTGGCCGGGTATCATATGGACAAGGATTACTACCAGAATAGGAGTCCGTAGAGTTGTACCCAAGCGTAAAGAGTCCAACAGCTCTCTACTTTTGGGTACAAGATAGGCTGTACTATCTGACTTCCTTGTAATGATTCCTTGGAGCCACACAACTAATCCTGGTTAATTCTTCGTGAGCCCACATGATGTGTGTCATTTCTGGGCCATAACATTTCAATGTTAGCATGAAATCCTCCAGAGTGATCTTTATTTTTGCCATAACAACATGAAACATTCAAGATGGTGATTGTTCCATTAGCCAGGGACCTGGAGTGACAGACTTGGAACAGACCAGCTGAACTGCAATGGATTCAAGGCACAACCAAGAAAACAATGTTTGCTGTTACAGGCCACTAAAAAATTGGAATCGTTACTCCAGCACAACATCACCTATCTTGACTGATACAACAGATTTTTTCTGTTTGGCTGCAACTGGCAGAATGAAGACCAATGTTTGGAAGTTTCAGGAAGACTAATTCTGTGCAATATAAGATAAAAACATAATAAAGTATACAAAGATGGAATGAAATACTTTTGAAATTATCCATTCACTTGCACAATATACAGTGAACTCTACTCTCTAGTAAGTATTATATAGGTAAAAATCCTTGCCTTAATGGAGGTAAGTAGTAAGTTCCCCTTCACACCCAAGATGTCTGCATTGAATGGCCTCTAAAGATTTGATGGAACAAATTGATTTTTAAAATACCTCCCAACCCACAGCTTTAGGATCTCTACTTCCTCTGGTCTTAACAGAAAAATACACATATATATTTTTTTCCTCAAGTATTTCTTTGATTCAAATGACTAAATGACCCATTGTGTTGTCTTTTCACATTTTAATGTCATTTTTCCAGAAAAAAACGTTTCTTCAAGGCCAATGCTATTTTATCCTTTCCCTTGATCTGTCTTCTAACAGTTAGCAGGCAATATCTTATTGTCTATGCTTTTAAGGAAATAACCAGTGTAGCTTTTGATACCAGCTACTGCTATAGGCCATTTGATATGTTTCAGATTTGTCTTTCATTTAAGTTAAATTTAGACTTGTTAAAAAAAATCTAGTAGCACAAATGTATTATTGTGTTAGTTCATTTGAGGTGTGATAACCAAGTATTTCAGACTGGGTAATTTATAAGCAACAGAAATTTATTGCTCACCGTTCTGGAAGCTGGGAAGTCCAAGATTACAGCCCCAGTAGATTCAGCGTCTGGCGAAGGCTCACTCCTTGCTTCACAGGTGGCACTTTTGTTGCTGTGTCCTCACACAGTGGAAGGGGCAAGGTAGCTAGACTCAGCCTGTCTTATGAAGGTACTCATCCCACTCATGAGGGTGGAGACATCATGACTTAATCCCTTCCCAAAGGCCCTACTTCTTAATACTATCACTTTTGATATTAGTTTCTAGTATATGAACCCTAATATTGGGGAACACTAACATTCAGACTGTAACAACCAAGTAACTTTCGGATTAAATGTCCCTTTCTTCTGAAAAAATGGTCTTAGCCTTGTGCTATGAAATTTGTGGCCAACGACAATATTTTATTAACATCTTAAAATAAATCCCTACTATGTGGAGGTGTAAGGCTTATATAAGAGTTTATCAAACTGTCATTTAATGCACTGCACCCAGAATTACATAATGTTATATTCTAATAAAGCCCATGAGCTCTCTATACAAGACTATTTGGAGGAAAAAGCAAATTCAAAAAATTAGGGGCAAAATGTTCTCTTGGTTCAACTCAGAGAAGCATATCATACTTTCAGTTATATGGGCTTGGCTGATAACTTGGGGAAGCAGATGAGTATATAAGTGTGTAAGAAAGAAGAAAACCAAATCTTTTTCAAAAATTTCAAATTTCTGTTCAGCTTCATTTCAAGCTCAGAATTGGAAAATCAACTGCCTGCTACCATAAACTACTGTTAAGCAGTAATTAAATACTGAGAATATGTTTTTTTTCCATTCCAAACCTGATGTTTTTCTCAGACACAGAAATTGTAACTGGTTAGGAAATTCAGCATTTTGGTAAATTAAGGCAGGAGGATTTAATGTCTCCTGGGACCTGTGGGGGCAGAAAGTGATCCAAGAAGGAAAACGTTTTACTGTGTTTTGCTCATTACAATCATTTATACCTTTTTGCTTTGCTTTACAGAACTAGGAGTTGTGGTGGGCACTTGTGTCTTTTAAAAGGAGGGCAGGTTCTCTAAAAAACCCTAATTCATAATTTAAAAAAATTCTTACATGTTTGGAATTATGGTCTCTGCATAAAATGATGCGTTAAAAGATGAATAAATTCCAGCGAATTCAATAACCATTGATGCGGGGGGGGGGGGAAGCAGCATGAATACATGCTGTATTCTCCTTTATTTAGAAAAAGCACACAAAAATACAGCACAGTTGATGTGTTTGTTACCAGGGCTTGAAAGTCGAATCAACCACTGTGTGAAAGATAAAATAAGACTGCACGGGTATCAGGATTTTCCCAGTGTGCTTTATTCATAGCCATCTGACACAACAGGACCTAACAGAGCTTTTAGGAAAAACTGAATTCTCAGCCCACAATCACTTTCCAGGAACTTCCCTGCAAACAGTGCTGAGCGCTGGCAGGATGGAAATCTTAGCAATCTCCCTCCTGCTTCCATAGTTTCCTCCTCTCTAAATAAAATTATTTCTGGGGACTTAATGAGAGAGCAAGCCTTGTGTGAAAGGAATTCAAGAAAGAGCGGCTTCTAAAAACACACCTAGACAGCTCTACAGTCCTTATTGCTGCAACCTGACATGTTGTAGTTCAAGCCATGAACCTAACTACACTTCTTGCCAAATACACACACGCGTACAAAGAAGAGGAAAAGTAAAAACTATGTTTTCTCTTTCTGCAATCCCTTTAACTTTGAGTAAACAGTAGTAATTTTCTGTTGACATACTCAATGCAAATTTCCCAAAGGCAACACAATACAAAACAAAAGACCTGTTAGCTTCCTTAGAGCTGGGGGGAGGCGAGGCAGAGGGAGAGAAATAAAGTTGATAGAGTTCCAGTTTCTCCTAAGCCTGCGGTCGTGAGCCTCTAGCCACACTAGTCTTTTTGTAGAGATTTTTTGAGTTTCAGTCTCCACTTAGGAAGGTTCCCTGGCCTCTTCTCTCCCAAATCCCCTGTCAATAAAATCCTCATCTCTCCCCCTTTGCCCCCAGCCTTTTGGGGAAATTGGACCTTGCTTAGGCGTCTTGTTCCAGTGAGCCGAAAAGTACAGCTGCTGACGTGAGGATAAATATTTAAACAAATGGACTGAGTCACAGCGTGAGGGTCTTCAAGAGAGGGCCTCCTCCTCCTCCTCCTTCCGCCACGAGCTCCTCATCTGGGGTGCACGGCTCCTGTATAGGGAGCTAAGAGGGACGAGGGTGGGATGACGGGAGATGGACAGACCAGGCTATAAGTGAAGGAGGCCCTCTAGGAAAGATAGTCTCGACCGAACAGTGACAGAGAGAGAGAGAGAGAGAGAGAGAGAGAGAGAGAGAGAAATTGGCCCACATGCCCCTAGTGGGGAGCCATACACCCCACGTAGGCTGGGTTGAGGTGGGGGTGCTTCGGAGCCTCTCACCTGACTTCCTCCTCTGCCAGCACACACACTACAGTAACCCCCTCTACTCACCCCTCAAAACCCAGCCACACAACGAACAACAAGAGGAAGCCGCAGGCGACAAGAGGAGGGGTGCGCGTGGTGGGGCCCCCAGAGAGGTGAGGGGGCAGGGTTGGCGGGCGAGAGAACCGTGCCGCGCACCACAAGCGCACCCCCAAGCGCCCACACTTACCCCTCACGGCTGAGGGTCCGGTCTTCCGCGCTAACCCCCGTGCGCGCCCCCTGGCCCGCCCTCGCCCCTCCGGCCCGCCGCCCCCCACACCCCGGCCCGCGCGCTGAGAGGGAGCCCGGGAGCAGCGCGCAGTAGCGGCGGCGGCGGCGGCGGCGGCGGCTCGGGCTCGGCTCGGCTCGGGCTCCAGTGCGCCTAGTGTTGCCGGCGGCCGCCGAGGCTCCCACCACCAGGGGGAGAAGCCGGGCGGGCGCTGGGGAGGCGGGCCGGGCCCTGGCCGCCCCGCTGGCCAGCCCGCGCCGCACAAGCTCCGAAGCGGCGGCTGCGCGGGGTTCGCGGAGCCCCTGGGCGCAGCGTGCCCGGCCCGAAGCGCCACGGCTGGATGCGCGTCCCGGGTGGCTGCGGGCTCCCGCGGGGGGCGCCCCGGCCGCTCCGGTGCGCCTCCAGAGTGCGGGCGCCGCGACCGCCGAGCCGACGAGAGCAGCTCCCGCCGGCCCCTTCCCCCTCCCGCCCCCGCCGCCGCCCCCTCCCCCGCTCCCCCCCCCGTTAGCATCTCCTCCCTCCCCCTCCTCTTCCTTCCCTTGGCCCCGCGCGCTCGCTCGCTCGCTCCTCGCCTCGCTCTCCCCTTTAAACGCCCACTTCGGATGGGGAAAGAGGACAACTTGAAGTCAAGTTGCAATTAACTTCCGCGGCAGCCGCAGCTCCGGCGGCGGCGGCGGCGGCAGAAGAGGCAGAAGCCGCCGCCTCGGAAGTCCGACGCGGGCGCGCCCGCCCGGGGAGCCGTTCCTGGTTTCAGGCCCGCACTCGACAGCCACCGCCGCCCCCAACGTCCATGCCTGAGTGAGTTCTGCTCTTTTGCCTCCCTTTTCCCATTGCTACTCTTGCTGTTTTATCTCTCTCTCTTTTTCCGGAATCAGTCCAAACTTCTCTGTAGCACCCACTCCGCGTCCCTGGTTGGGGCGGCTCGGCTCCCCTGTCGTGGGCGCAGGGTTGTAGGGGTCCCCCGAGCCCCTTTTCTCTCGCAGATGGACCTCGCAGGGGTGGGCTGGTGGAGTGAGGGAGAGCGGCTGGGATGGGGGACCTGAAGATGCCATTCGTTCTCTGTCGGGGTGTGGACGCACCGTCACACCTGCCCAGCGACCCTGGCTGAACAAACTCCTTCAGGTCACCGGTACGGCCCTTTTGGAAGAGAAAAGGGGAGTGAACAAGACCGAAGGAAGCAAATGGGGAAAGGGATAGCCTCTGTGCGTTCTGGAGCCGGGCGGGCAGTGAGGTGCTTGGAGGAATGGGCTGCGGGAGTGGAAATGTTCCCCCACCGGATTGCGAGTGTGCTCAGCATCCTTTCCCGGTCCATCTCCGCCTCCCTCTGCTCTCAGCCGGCGCGGCTGATTGTAAGCATCGGCGAAGAGGGGCCTGGGAAGTTTGTGGCAACTTCGGCATCCCAGGAGCTACTCGGGCGCCGGGGCGCTCAAGTTGGAGCCCGGAGTTTGAAAGCCGCGGCAGTCCTCATTTCGAGCCCTTGCTGGCTGTAGCGAGGCCGGTCCTGGAGGGGCTGCTGGCGTGAATGTGGGTTTGGAGTTGGGCAGGAGGCAAAGAAAGGGCAGCCCTCTTAGCTGGGACCGGGACATCACAGGTGCAGCCTCGGGGTCCGCACCGCATCTCCCTCCTGTGGTCCGGACCAGAGCATGGTGGCCTTTTCCTAGTGCTCCAATGCCAAGGCTCCCGGGGCCGCAGAACCGGGGTTGGGGAAATCACGAGGAGAAGGACGAAGCAGGCAGGTGGCAGGTCCGGGGAGTGCCACGTGCGTACTGGGGAAACGCAGGTTCCTCTTGGGATGACCTCAGAAAACCAAGAGGGGAAAGGGGCACAGGGATCTCCTTGAAGGTTTTGGCCTTGGCCTCCAACTGGGGTGTTGCAAATTTCACTAGCAAATGTCAACCACAGGGCCCTCTCTCAGAGTGTCCTGGTTGGCAGTTCTGACCTCTGCGCCCTTCCTTGACGAACTTTCTCAGAAGCATTCCGGATTTACAAGCAAATGTTCTAAGACTTGGACTCCACATGGTTGTAAAAGAGACAGGGAAAAGAGAAAGACGCCCTATTCCCGGGAGAGAACCTTACTGCTCTGACTGACTGGGGTTCCATGTTTGAATCCTTGGAGGCCAGGGAACCTGACTTTCTCAAGGGGGTGGGGAGTAGAGTAAAAATGAGTAAAATGTGACCGCTCTGTGTCAGGTTTTGTCCTAAGCAATCTCTGATGTTTACGGTGTTTGTACTGCTGACAGAGTAACTCATCCCGATGAAACTTAGTTGAAATTTGCACTCTTATCTAAAGTGGATTTTTCTGAGATGTCAGGAATGTGAGATTTATTCTGTGGTCAAATGTAGCAGCAAAAATCAAAAACGAAAACTCATACTTTAAGTCTGAAGAAAACCAAGGTTGAGGTGTCTGCTCTAAAAAAACCTCTGATCTCCTGTAGGGTACTAGTGCTATGATTTAGCAGTAGTCCTTTATTTCTATTGCATATTATTTTGGTAGAACAGTAGTACATTCATATACTGGCTGCTCCAGTCTGCTGGCAAACATTAGCATTCAAGCTTACATTTTTGACAAATGTGCAGACAGGAATAGCATGAATAGGCATCTTAAATATTAACAACCTAAGCATCTGTTGTGAAACGAATTTAATATATTTACTCTGTTTTTCTCACATTGTTAGAAAAGGTTATAATAAGTGCAGAATTTCAACTTTAGTTAGCAGAAGTAACTGTCTGTATCTTTCACTACCTCTCCAAGTGTTTAACACAATCACTAGACATA